TTTTTTTTGAGTTGGGTCAATTTTTTTTTAGTTGGGTCAAATACATGTATATGTGTTTATGTGATGGTGATGTATCACGTAAAAATAATTTGGATCAATTTTTAAAAATATATTGATGTTTTTAATTTTATTTCAGTTTGAAGGAATTATAACATTCTAAAGCCAACAATATCTACCTGCCACATATTACATGTACACACATAGGTACTGAAGGTATTTGAAGCAAAATTTCAAACCATGAAGCATGGATATTGAACAAAGCATGTATTACAATCTCTCTCTAGGCAAAGTTAGGCAATGATAAAGCAGAATTCCTTGCTCCAAAGGCTATTGCAAAAAAACAACAACACACACTTGTTTTTGCATTCATCAGCCTTAGCTTCTCCCTTCCTCCCTCCCTTTCTCTCTCACATACAGGGCTTTTGATGAAGATAAGATCTTTTGAGCAAGCTTATATACCACCATGGCTCAAAGCATATTTCTAGAAGTAAGAATTAGCACTCAGACTGAAAACCAATGAAGCTTTATATGAAATCATATTTATTGTTATGTTTGGGTTCAATAATTGGAATCTAAACTTAGTCATGTTTAAGAGCAGGGCCAACATTAACAATGGGATAATACACAAAAACAGTCTATGCTGCTTATTTTGCTCATACAAGAGAAAATGCGTTGAGAGAAAGTAAACTCCATTTCTGACATACAGAGAGAGGTTTTGGAGATCCCCAAGTATGTAAACATCTTCTACAAAAAAATAATACCAAAAAGGGTTTTGTTATGTGAAGCAGAGCAATAAATGGTTTGAAAATCATGATGTATATATTTCATAGTTGATGTTTCTGTTTTTCAAAGATCAACTGTTTTTCAGACATTTCAGTCATAATGTACCCAAGTAACTTTCCTATTGCCAAGAAATCAACGAATAACCCTTTGCTATTATGTGAAGGGTATGGGAGTGCAATTCTATGAAATTTTTCAGAATGTACTGCAGCATCTGGTAGAGGCTGAAGTTAGCCAATGGGAAAGATGTAAATGATTAGGCAATAATGAGGTTTTCAAGTTGTATTATTATTCTGAAACACTACCATAGGCAATAGGTGAAAATATTTTAGAGACAATCTTTTTTTCTAAAGACCAAAGACTGTATCTGAGGCTTTGGGAAAATAATATAAAAATGGAAAGGACCAAGACATTAACAAGGAATTTTAAAGTACGGTAGTACTAAAATGTAAAAGTCAAACAAACTACCGGCACCTGAGAAGGATTGCACTGACTTAAATCGTTGCAGGTCATAAAATAGCCAGTGAGCCTGGCATACAGACTCTTCCCTGTAATGCAACAAAACTGGAATTGCACAGTAGCAAATTTGCCTTTGTCTGATATGTAGAAAATGTAAAAAAAGGGAACATTATATCAACCAGAGTCTTTGTTTTCTCTGAAACAAATCTTCAGAGAATTGGGGCTACAATTTTCAGTCTTTGCAAAGCTGGTTTTGGTTAAACCCAGCAGTTCTAATAATAGACAATTGTTCAAGCTCATTGCACTTTGCAACCTCAACTGTGCAATAAACAGAGAACCCCACCGAGTTTACTGAAGCTTGCTCCTAGAAAACTGCCTGGGAATGGAGTCTGTATTGTAAACACAGATGCTCTCATGTATGCTTAGATATCTGTATCTGAACATATTAAACTTATTGGACACAGAGGGTTTTACTATGGCATCTCATAGGACTAAACATGAGCTGCTAGACTCTAATGTAAAGTAATATTGCTACGTTACTATTATGACTTGAATGTACATTAAATTCAAGTATCTGTAGATACTTTCCTTGAAGATACTATATCAAGTTTGCCTAATGATAGTTCTATTACCCCTTAAATATATTTTAAACAAAAAAACTGTGGATATTGAATGCAAATTTATGATGTTATAACATGATAATCAATACCTTATCACATAAAAGGAATCAAAATTAGAAGCTGAGCCACAGTACAAAAACAGTTGACTGTTAACTATGTTAGCTGGAATTTCTCTGGCTTGCAGTTCCAATATGTCTGTCTAAAGGGCTCCAGCTTTGAAAGGTGTTCTAAAATGTTGATGGGGGTCTCGAAAAAAGAAGTATATGACAAGGCATCTTTGAAATTCAGTAATGAAAAATGGCCACATAATGTCATAAGATCAAAAAATGAATGAGTACTGAAAAATTGAGGACTGGATTAAAAAACCAGTGACCACATTGGAAGAAGTACATTGAAATGCTCTGGTTCATAGACAGAAAATGAATAATGATTTAATCACAACTATATGAAAGAAGAATATATAGATCTACTCAAAAGAGGAGGCCAAGAAAATTGTGACTGAATGAAATTGAAGATCTATAAAAATAAAGAAATTTAAAGAAAAGAAAAATTATGAGATTATGTATGATGTCATGTTAATATTAATTATACAATTAATTTGTTATATTTAAACATTAAACATATATAAATCTAAGAGCAAAAGGGCAAAGGCAAAAAAAAAAAGGGGGTGGTGGGGAGAGAAACCTATCCATAAGAAAATGGGAACTTGTGGTTGTAGCAGCTATTTTGATATATACCTGTAGAAAATGCAACTTGAATTACTAATAATATAACAGAAAATTGCTAAGGTATTGCTAAGGGCAATAAGGTATGGACACAGGAAAATAACTCAATGCTCCCTATCTACTACAAGAACTGTGGTCAGGGAAGTGGGAGTTACACAAACTGTGGGAGACATACATCCCCTAGTATCCTTCATCTGTGCAATCTCTACCCTGGTCTGTCTTTCATTTAGCATTCTCATATTGGGCATGGACCCAGGATTTTCTAGGATAACACAACAATAGCAAGAGCACTTAGATTTACATACTTCTATATGCTTTACAGCACTTTCTGAGCGGTTTACAATGTCAGCATATTACCCCCAACAATCTGGATCTTCATTTTACTTGACCTCAGAAGGATGAAAGGCTGAGTCAACCTTGAGCCGCTCAGGATTGAACATCCAACACATGGCTATGGTGTAAGTGCAGAATTATATAGGAGTATAGGCAGTCCTCGATTTGCAACCACAATTGAGCCTAAAATTTCTGTTGCTGAGACAGTTGTTAAGCAAATTTTGCCCCATTTTATGATCTTTCTTTTCACAGTTGTTAAGTGAATCATGGCAGTTGTCAAATTAGTAACAGGCTGTTAAGTGAATCTGGATTTTTTATTGACTTTGTTTATCAGAAGGTGTCTGAATTTTGATTCCATGACGATGAGGATGCTGCAATGGTTGTGAGTGTGGAAAACTGTCATAAGTCACTTTTTCTCAGTGCGGTTGTAACTTCAGTCGTTAAATGAACTGTTGTAAGTCGAAGATTGCCTGTATAATAAATTGCACTGATGTAAAAAATTATTTAAATATCCTTTTCTCTTAAATATGGTCTTAAAATATTTTTTGCTCATTATTACGTTGTTATTGTTTTTGTGTGTGTTTTATATAAAGATACTTACTCTCAAAGAGAACTGAATGATGGATATGTATATATGTATGCTTGATAATAATTATGGCATGACAAGTAGTTCTGAAAGGTATTGAATCCCTTGATTTCACAAAGACTATAATCCAAAGGAAGTTAAGCAGGTTCACATTTTATAAAATTCAGCATCATCAAATAAATTATTTTAGCTTCTCCAAGGTAGCTGCATAACTGGAAAAACTTTCTGAAGTTTGTACTATACAACTCAATGGTGATAATCTGTATCAAAACAACGTTGATTTCACAATACTAGTAAAATTTTCAGTTAACTGCACCGTGATCATATGTGCATAAAAATGTTATGATCTTATTATTGAAGTATGATATGCTATAAATTCAGAGCTCTTGTTAATGTGAATATGTATGTATGTATGTATGTATGTATGTATGTATGTATGTATATAGCTTAGAACTGAACTGTGGAATCATTGATTCCCTCCGAGCTTGATTGTTTGCTAGCAAATGTTTCATTAGTTGACTAGGGTTAGAGTTAAGGTTAAGGTTATTGAGTGTAAGATTTGCTCCTTGTTTACATAGAATAACTTGCCCTGCCAGTCTTGATGGGAGTGTAGTTTTCTCATTGGTAGTTATTTTATTAGGAACTACTTAATATTGCCTTCTGCTTGGTTGTTTGTCTGGTGTTAATCCCCGTTTATCTGGGTATTGGTTTCTGGAGAGGATGTTCTGTTTTTTTTTTCTTCTTAACTGTTTTATTGCCTCTTGAATGGTGTGTAAATATGGTTTATTTCTATATGCCTATTTATGACTGATTTGCCTGAATACCAAGCATTCATGAGAGATAAATATATATATTCTCGGAATATTAAATTATGGTTCATCTCCTTAGCTGCAAGGAATCAGAACATTTTGTTGAAGGAAATACTGAATCGTATACTGTACAGTGTAAGCAACCTTTTGAGGGCGTATACTTACTGTGCATTATCCAGGTGAGGTACAATCCACAGCTGATGATTGATGGAATTACTGGCAAGATGCTTCATAGCACAACCTTACACATCTCCTCAGGCCAGTCCCAATGAATACTGTACAGTGATGCATCGGGAAACGTATGTGTTAGTAGAGATCAGCCTGTTCAACAATTGACGATAAACACGGAAATATTGAAATTAATAGCCTCCAACACATGCATATATGTACATGAAGGTATCTGTGCAATTACACCCTGAATTCATGTTATTAACCTAAAGTGCTTAGAACCTCATTCTTCTACCTAATGGTTTTCCGGTGTGATTTGCCAAGAAAGGAAACAACTCCTTATCCTTGAAATATTATGTTAAAATATATCAAAATAACTAAAATGAAATTGAAGGGGGGGGGGAAACGGAGAGGATGGCGATAGATGCGATGCACCATATGCCCAATTAGTGGGCGACGCGTACGTGTAATGCTCAAACACGGCTAACAAATTATGGTCGGGGCGGGGGGGGGTGTTCAAGAGCAGCGGAGGCGCGGCGGCCATTCAACTGCTTGCTCGGACACCTCCCCGCCCTCCCGCTTCGGTACTAACTGGGCTTTGACTTCCACGTCTGGAAGCGGGTCGAGTAGAGAGGAAAAGGCTTGGTGTAAATACCGGGAAGGAGGTTCGGAGAAGTTGCGTGTGTGCAGCTCGATTCCTTTCCAGCGAGGGCTGAGGAACGGAGGGAGGCGTGCCGCGTTAGGTGGAGGTGCGAGCGAGCCGTTTGAGAAGTTGGCGGGTGGGCGTGTGCCCCACGCAGGACTACTCCCCGCGGGAGGCCGAGCGAGGGGACGGCTGCTTTCGGGAAAAGAAAAAAAGAAAAAAGAAAAACCGGAGCCTCAGGCGACCGGCTGAAAAGCTCCTATCGGCCGGAGGAGCGGCTGAGAGACAGAGGCGGGGAAGAGCGCCGGGGGCTGTCCCCCACGTGGCGCTGACGCTGAGCCACTGAACCGCCGAGCCGATCGGGGGGCTATAAAGTGAATCGGGAGCCCAGAAGGGCTGAGCTTCAACCAGAGAGCGAGCGCTGCCTTCCTGGAGGAGGAGGAGGAGGAGGAGACTTCGCATCCCGTTTCCAACCCTCAGCCCCAAACCTTCTCCGTTTGCGGTCCTTGGCATCTTGTAGAGCGGCGGCGCCCCGGTTGAGAGTGTGAGGCGGGGACCCTCCGCTGCCTCCTGGCGTTTCTTCGCGCGGTTTATTGGCGAGAACGGCGCCCTTCGTCGCCTCCATGCGGGAACTGCTCCGCTCCCTCTCCGCCGCCTGCCTCCCGCGGAGGTCCCGTCCTCGCCTTTCCTCTCGCGGGGTGAAGGTAAGAAGCAACTTTTGACTCCCGCTCCGCCTGCCGCGAATGGCCTCTTGAGGAGCCCCCCCCCCGACGCCCTCCCGCCTCGGCTGGACTTTGTAGAGAAAATCTGGGGCAGTGGGGGAAGGTAGGAAGGAGAGACCCGGTCGCCTTGCCGGTCGGCGAAGACTGAAACGGAGGCGGGGGGCTGTTATGGAAGCTGAGCCAAGCCGCTTCTTTCGCTCCTGATTGGAATCGGTGGCTTTCCGGTGCCTGCAGAAAGGACCAGCCCCGCTGGAGACAGGTGCGGGATCTCCTCCTCCTCCTCCTCCTCCTCTTCGCAGGGTGTGCCTGTCTTAAGTGACGTCCATGAAGCTGGGTTAATGTTGAAGCTGAAGAGCCCGTACCCAGAGCAAGGGGGATTCGCTTCCCTGGCCCACCTGCCCACTTTCCAGCTGGAGCACAGCTACCCACAGCACATGGATGGCAATGGGAGCTTGAATGGAAGTGAGGGCGGGCAGAAAGAGGGCCTTCTTTACCCCTTGCCCACTACCTTAGCCCTCATCTTCCTGGCCACACTGCTCATGATCGTCACCATCTTTGGCAACGTATTAGTCATCATTGCCGTCTTCACCAGCCGGATGCTGAAGGCCCCTCAGAACCTCTTTTTGGTTTCCTTGGCCTCAGCAGACATCCTGGTGGCCACCTTGGTCATTCCCTTTTCTCTTGCCAATGAGGTGATGGCCCAGTGGTATTTTGGCAAGGTGTGGTGCGAGATCTACCTGGCTTTGGATGTACTCTTCTGCACCTCTTCCATTGTGCATCTCTGTGCCATCAGCTTGGATCGCTACTGGTCCATTACACAGGCCATTGAGTACAACCTCAAGCGCACACCACGCCGCATCAAAAGCATCATTTTCCTGGTTTGGGTCATCTCCGCGGTCATCTCTTTCCCACCGCTTATCTCCATTATAAAGCAGGGTGAGCCTGAGAGTCAGCTCCACGAACAAACAGAATTGAAACCTGAGAACAAATTGCTCAGCTGCAGTATCAACAAGGAGACCTGGTACATCATCTGTTCCAGCATAGGCTCCTTCTTTGCTCCTTGCCTTATCATGATCCTGGTCTATATCCGTATCTACCAGATTGCAAAAAGGAGGTCTAGAGTGCCTCTCAACAAGCAAGGGGAGACTGTAGAGAGCAGACAGAATGGGTTGGATAACAAAGATGATACGCAAGCGATAACCAAGCTCAATGGGGGGAAGACAACATTGGCAGGAAGAAACCAGGAATCAGAAGTCAATGGTATAGACCTGGAGGACACATCTTCTTCAGAGCACAATGACACTCCTCAGCCTAGGAAAGCAGAAAGGCTTCCCAGAAGTAAGGGCAAAACCAAACTCTGCCAGATTAAGCCTGGGGACCATTTGCCTAATCAAGTAGAAGAGGATAGGAATGCCAAAGCTTCACGATGGAGAGGGAGACAGAACCGAGAAAAGCGCTTCACCTTCGTACTTGCAGTAGTGATTGGAGTTTTCGTTGTCTGCTGGTTTCCTTTCTTCTTCACTTACACATTGACTGCTGTTTGTAGGAGATGCAATGTTCCTGAAACCCTCTTCAAGTTCTTCTTCTGGTTTGGTTATTGCAATAGTTCCCTGAATCCTGTCATCTATACTATTTTCAACCATGACTTTAGGAGGTCCTTTAAAAAAATTCTCTGCAGAATAAACCGGAAGAGAATTGGGTGAAGCGGGGATCTCTTTGCAAGGCAAGTCTTAGGTTCAGCTCTGGTGGGATATTGGAAGTGGGTGGCACCTTGTCTAATTACTGAGCATTGACTCTTCAAAGGCTTCAGGTGAGATAAAACAATTAAAATATTAGTGCACAACCAGAACCCAAGAGGATATGTGCCCAGGGATGGATCAAAAGTCTTATTTTAGTGTGTTCTTTCTATGTATTTCAGCACATTGAACAAATGAGGCTGGGAAAGGAAAATGTAAGTCATATTTTTCAGAAGCACTTTCTATTTTCCATCTAAGGTCCCTGACGTTACGATATTGCATCCTTGAGATCTGTGCATCTTTAACTTTTGTAGGAAAATTAGCTTTAAACTGTTTTAAATATTTCTTGAGGACACACATTCTATATGAAAAGCAAAAGAAAGATACACATTTGAGTGGACCCCTGCTGCCATCTCATCGATTTCAAATATTATAGTATTAAATTCCAAAATTTCCAATATGGTTCTGGATGTTGGGATATAACAACTGGTAATATAAGCTTTGACACAATGGCCAGTGTTTGATTGTATTCACTATCTATTTGTTTTTTCAAAAAATCATGTTTGTCTTGTCTTTTTAAAATGCAGTATTGTTAAAAGGCTGTATCTCTTATTCTGTACCAATTGAGAGAATCAAATATGAAGGATTTCACAATTAGAAAGGAACTGTCAAAAAAGCTGAGCTTTCTAAGACTCAGAGGTTTAAGAGGAAGTATTCTTTCTTTGTGATCCTTTCATTGAGATATGTTCAGTGCAATTTACTTCTTTCTGTAGTTGTAAATAGATACCATAGAGGAAATTCTCTGTTTACTTTACAATGCTATTTGATTCACACTGATTTTTTTTTTTACATTTTCATTTGTGCTAGCTCTCCTGTACAAAAACATATTTTCATGTACAAGTTCATTTTTCCCTTTTTACCTAATATGAAACCATACAAATCTTTTTTTCCAGCTGCAAAATTGGATGATAGAACTCTTTTGATTAGTCACATAGTGAATGTTATACTTGAGTATAAAGGAGAAAGAAAATGAACAGAATAATTGTAACATGTAAAAAATCATGTTGGCATAGGATAAAATATCTTTGTTAACTATCTTCCTTGTTTGTTTTCCCAGAAATACCTATTGCAAGTTAACTTTCTCAGCTCATCAAATAAATATACTGAGTATTATTAAAAGGGAAGCGGAAAACATCAGAATTTTATTTTCAATATTATGACAACATATTCAGTTAAATTTACAATTTGATTAAGTACTTCGTATCTGATGATGCTGGAAAAACTCTTCCTTTTAAAGCTGTAAAGTCGATACATTCTTGCTTTTTGTGCAGTTTTTTATATGGATGACAGGGCCTTCTTTAAAAAATTCCACCCTACTCTATGGAACACTATGGATATCCAGTCTTCAGGCTTGTATGCCTTCATTTTGTAAGGATACATATCCAATCTCTTACATAATAATAATAAAAAAGAATCTGACACTCCTAGTCAGTCTAAAACTAGAATGCTAATAGAGAAGGGAAAAGAAAATAAGTTAGTAGCAACAAAGATATTACCTTGTCTAAAAGCTCATTTTTTAAAAAAGGTTAAAGAGTTAATTACAAATGTTTGCATAAAGTGTTTTTAACCCAGACTTTAAAATCTCTTTTTTAAAAGACTCATTTTCCAGTGCAAGGAAATTCATACTATTTATATGGAGCTGTTTCTAAAATGTGTATTAGTATCCAAGGGCTGAAACAATGGGGGTGTGATGGGGAAATGGGGATGAATACACCAGCACACAGTCAAAAATAATGCTGCCATTATAAGTCTATTGCAAAGGTATTGCAATTTAGCAGGATTGAGGCCAGGCCTTATACTGTATGTGAATCAGGCTGCTGGGTCAATATACAGTTTTTCTTTGACTTCAGTTTAAAATGAGAGAGTCACTTTCTCCCTGTTGCAGTAAAACAAGATAATAAAAGTGCAAAGCCTGTGTGACTTCCCCTATTTGTTGTAACTGATATTTGAAATGCTGGAATTTTAATACCCTCTTCTTACCAGAAAAATCAGGACACATAGATAAGGAGAAATTTTTCTTTTTGATGGAGGCAATCTGTCTGCATTGTGTTGTATTTTATATGTCCCCAATTTCATGTTTTCCTGCTATATTTGGGCTGAAATTTGCAGAGTTGTTCATGAAGGCTGGGAATTCCAGAGATAAGCCAACATGTTTGGAGACCCCAATTTGGGGAAGGTTGATGAATTTCTAATGCCTTGAAGGAGCTAAATAAGAGATTTCAGTTAGAGACATCGCAAACCGTTTAGCTGGCTTTTCCAGCCTTACAGATTGGTCCTATTGTAATATTGTAATATCCGCTTATGGTTTGTAACAACTGGTTTGTATTCAACTGCTAAAAGTATTTTACACAGTAATCAGATAGCAGAGATCGAAATTTACATAGGAAACTGAGAACCATGTTTTCAATATGTTTACAAATAATACCTTTGCAATGGTCTATCCATAATAGGAAGGGAAATATTTTGAAATGGCTTCCTTATGATATAAAAAGAATAGCTTAAAACTCAGGCCAGAGGGAAAAGCCAGAATCAATGGCTTAAAACTACAAGGAACTAGGTTCAGATTAGATGTCAGGTGAACGTCCTCACTATATGAGCTGTAGGTGACTCGAGTAAGATACATGGAAAGTGATAGAATGTGGTAGATAAACAGAATGGCCCTGAAGGACAAAAGGAAGATCTTTAGATAAATGAAACCTGAGCCCAGGCCAACAAAGTACTTTGAAAAGTGTCTCAGACAGTGCTCCCCTCGTTAATTTTCATCAAGATGAAAAAGGAAGGTAGCACATTCAGACTTACAAGATAAACTATTTTATTGGAACAAGATCTGGGTGGTGTCTAGTTTATCTGATAGGGTTGCCCTAATTTCTTCTTTACCAAAAGTCTTCAAACAGAAGCTAGATAGTGTTCTCTCAGAGATGTTCTAGAGCAGGGCAGTCAAACTCCGGGTCCACGAACCAGATGCGTCACACATTGGCCACACCCATGCCCAGTTTAGCCAATGGAAAAATCGCATGTCTTGTGATGCTGCCATGATGACATGAGTTTGACACCCCTGTTCTAGAGGATCATATACGCAGCAGAGTGTTGAATTAGATGTGATGCTTCAATGACTCTTTGAACTGTTACAATTTTATGATAATAAGTAAATACAGAGAAAATGAAATATACTCAACTCTTATATAGCTGGCTGTGTTAATGAAATTCCTTGATTACACACTGAGCTCTTAGGCAGAAAAATGGCTTCTGTATTGCCAGCTCTGGGGTGACCCTTTCACTCAATTAGATGAATGTCTCCGGAAACCTATCAGAAAGAAAACCAGAGAGCCTTCTTATCATCTGAAAAATGACTTATGGTGAAATAAACTGTAAATTTTAGCCATTTGGTCTGAAATAGCACAAGGGAAAAGTTAATTGGCCTTGTAAAAGATCTTGGCTTGAGAATGTGGGTTGCATATTTTTAGGGTTCTGGTATTAAATGTACTGTATGAAACAAGTAAACAAATGCCTTACACTGGAAAAATAAAGTGGTTTCTGGAATATCTTTCTAAATCAAAGTTGTATCTGGTATAACAATCCCTGAATACCATGCCATTTGACCTTTTTAAGAAAATGTAACATGTAAACAGAAATAGCCATAATGGATTTATAAATAAATGAATAAAATTGACACCTCTGAAGCATGGTAGATCTTTGTCATCTCTGTGTTTGGTTTCAAGACTTAATCAGCAAATGGGAACTGACCTTTTCAAGCACATATTGCCATGGTCCCTTGTATTTAATCATTGTTACACCACATGTTAAACAGAACAATAGCCTGCTTTATTATGCTCTAAGAAGCTTTTGATATGATTGTGTTTTCTTATAGCAGAGCAAATCCATTCATGCACCTCTTTAAGGCCAAGAATTGGGACAAAATCATGTTTGAGTTTTTGATATTTTTCCTTTCCAGTTCCATCCCTTTTTATCGTCTCTTGAAATACTGTTCTAATCTGGAGTGTACAAACTGCTGAAGAACTGCTGACTAATTAGGTCAAGTGCAAACAGAGATTATTGGAGTAAAGCAATGCTTGCGTCCAGCTAAATGCCTGGTAGTGTTTAGAAAAGATAGAACTGCAGAACAGATCTGTTATTTCAGTTAGACACCCCCAACTCTGTTTGGGTTGTAAGATTTAGCCCGGAAACATTTTATTTGCATGAAAAATGGATAGCAAAATTAGGGGCAGTAATTTTTACAATCTATACTATGTGCTGTCTGTTCCTTGTAGTTCCTAGATGCCACTGTGTTCCTGGTACTAAACTAATACTTGATTTCTTAATAAGACTTTAGATTTAATTAATTAACTGTAAGGAAATGATAGTTCTATGAAGGGAGCTGGGGACTGTATATCCTTAAATCATAATTCCCAATTTACTCATTTATTTAAAACATTTTTACTCTGCTATTCAGCTGAGAAAGGTTTCCAGAAGAGCTTATAAAGGTCATTAAGAGAGAGAAAAAATCCTGGTTTCAAGCTTGTAGTCTAAAAGTCATCATGCAAAAATAAAAGGCTTTGACTAAAAAAAGAGGAAAAAGCTATCTCTACCTATATAAAGCAGTTTTATAATTTACAAAAGACATAAAATGATCAACTAGAAAAGAGGAACAAAAGTCTGTAAAAAGGAACTTCTGAATTTATTTCTCTTCTGTTTACAACTTCAAGTTTTTCTCTGTTCTCAAGTGATCCAAGCTAAGGTTCATTGTCTACTCAAGCAAGACACCAGAATCCTTTAATCTGCAAATATTTATTACAGGTTTGCAAAGCCAGATCAAGCTCACGTGGGCATGTTCAGTATCATTCCATGGGCAAGGTCGAAACAAAACAGGATATAGTTATAATCAAGGGACAAGGAACTACAGGATTATAAAACAGTATTGGTTAGAAATTAATTATCAAATTTATTAAAATACCATGGATTCACTATGCTGTCCCTATTAAATGTCACATCCGAACTTCCCTAACTCTGAAGTCTAACTAAAGTTCCCTTGAACCCTAACTGCAAGGTTCAACTACTCTATTACACAGCAGAAGCCATTCTTATAAGATAGGTAGTTAATGGTGGCTGTGCTTAAAATTCTAGCTATACTCAGGAGCCCTGTGCTAAATGCTCAAATTGCTTAAATGCTTCCAAGCTGCTCTTTCAGTTGAGCTGATGGAATCTTTTCCCTCACTGAGCACTCTCCAAAGAGTTGTGTCTGGTAAATCAGTGTAAAACCACATACACAGTTGTGGTATAATTATCGTAAAGCTCTGCCGGTGAATCTCAGCAAGGGGATTCAGAAGATATTTCTGCCACTCAGAAAATAAAACCTACTTGCCAAATTACTGTACCCAAGAAGAAAGTCAGCAGCTGCAATGTACATGTTCTCCAATCCTTATAAAGTCATCAAAGATTTATGCACTGAGCACCATGCTCTGGATTCAGCAGACTCCATCCAGCCAAAATCCACTTAAATCATTGGAATGATTTTGTAACCAAGGCTAGAGAGTAGCCTTTGGGTTCTAAGTAGGTATAGCCACTGAGGCAGGAACATAGGCTTAGATTTGCACTGCTACCATAAATGGTAGGTTTGCGGAATTATAAAAGTCCACTGAAAGCAATGAGACCCATTTTGAAGAAGGAAGGCCCACCTCACCTCCATGTTCCTTTATCTCTTTAGGAAAGGTCAGGGAGAGTTAAGGGTATAATTCGGCTCCTCAATTTTCTGGAGGTCATATGGTGAGGTAATTGTATTACCAAAATGGATGTGGGGTTAAACATTTTTGGGGGCTCTTTATTTTGGAATCTTTTCCAAAGTTTTGTATATGGTAATCCCAGTACTATTCCCACTGATAAAAGCCCCTCCAAACCTAAAAAAAGGACTGAAATTAGCTTGAATAACTGATTTTTGGCTATCTGAGAGATAAAGGCCTCCTAAAAGCCTGTGCCTCATTTCCATTTACACTGTTGAAATCTGACTGACAAAATTTGTCAGTGCAATGTCAGGGCACTGCTAAATGAATTAAAACGTGGGGGTATGATTAAATCAGGTTCAAAGTAGCTTTGAAGCTAAAGATTGCTACAAGGAAATAAAACAATTATGTTAATAAGTCACTCCAAATAGCTGTAGTCAGAAAATTGTTTCAGCAATCATCAGATTAAAAAAAAAATGCTTGAGAAAGGGGGAAATGTAACCAATTTAAACATGTAAGTACCATATGCTAAATAAAATACAATAAGCATATAAGGAAAGGATAAATGGGAGAATGAACAAATCCTTTATTCTAATCCTACTTGAATCTCTAGGTTTCACAATTCAAAAGATCCTCCCCCCTCTCTCCCCTCTCTTTTTGAGGTAGGATGAAACAGACAGCAAAAAAACCATCAACATACTTTACTATAACTGAGATCCAATGTGTTTTGAAGGGACACCTCTTTGTCAGGGAAATAGTACAGGCAGATTTCAAAGGATGGAAATGCTGAAATTAGATTTCAGGCTCAGTAAGAATAAAGTTTCTCTCCCGCTGTTTTATTTCTGGTGTAACTTTGTCTTGCCTCTCTCTACTTTGTTTCACCAACTTTACCTCTGCTGGCAAAGACTTCAAGTAGGAATATCCCATGCTTATGTAGTTATAGGCCATTTAGAAGTAAAAAGGATGAAGCCAGCATGCTATACTGATATCTGAAGCCATCATAAGTCAGTATATTTGGAGCAATTTTGTCCTAAATTGCCAGACATTACAGCACTTTAATGATTTTGGACTATCACCTTATGTGCTGACTTATGTTATAATGAGAGCCAACCTCATGCTTTAGGAGCTGGTATGGCTGCTATGATGTGTACATTTTCACTTACTAACATAAAACACAGTGAAGAATCAGGCAGTGGCTTTGTTCATGGCAAACTGGATAAGCTTAGCTGGCACTTTAGAGAATGAGTTGAGTTGTAAGAGTAATCCATTATTTTTCTTGTTTATTCATCTTTTGGAAAGTTCAAAGTCCCTCAGATAATTTCTTTATTACAGTCAGCAACATGGCAGGATTCTCCGTTACTGTTTCATTTAGTTTTCCACTGAACATCTTATCCATACACTTAATACTTTCCTGGATTAAAGAATATTTTTTTCCTTCCTTCCTTCCTTCCTTCCTTCCTTCCTTCCTTCCTTCCTTCCTTCCTTCCTTCCTTCCTTTCCTTCCTTTCCCTCCCTCCCTTCCTCCCCAAGACAAATATCAGACTGTAGGCAAATGATAGGGGAAAATATTGCTTCCTCCTTAACTGCATTTGTTCTTAACATGAAATTGAATATCAGCAGTATATAGGCTAACCAAACGCATCATTGAAACTTCATGGAATTGCTCACTTAGAGTGTTCCCTCCAAGTAGCTTTGAGCTACTATTTGTACAAACACTACAGTTGCATGTGAGTTTAAGGATTTTGGGATTTTATTTGATTCTCCTTGGTACAGTTTGTTTATTCTTAGTTGTATGCTACTTGGATCCAGGAATGTGAAAACCTACTAAGAATTGATAGTATTTTTTTTATCACTCCACAGAGCAAAATTTTTTTTAGCAACATATACTCATTTTAAGAGCCAGCTTGCTGTAATGGTTAAGGCATCAGACGAGAAATCGGGAGTTCCTGAGTTCTAATCCTGCCTTAGGCATAAAGCCAATTGGGCCAGTCACTTTCAGCCCTAAGAAGATGGAAAGAGCAAACCACTTCTAAAAAACTTGGTATGAAGCTTTTATTGATGGACTTCAAAGTGGTGTTAAAAGGGACAAGTATAATTCATTAACTTGTGCAATAAGAATTTGCCTCTATATTGCCACCAGATTTTTTTGATTCTAACTGATCTTTTAATTTCTTTCTTTAATTTGATTTATATGCCGCCCTTCTCCGAAGACTCAGGGCGGCTTACAATGTGTTAAGCAATAGCCTTCATCCTTTTGTATATTTATACAAAGTCAGCTTATTGCCCCCACAAACTGGGTCCTCATTTCACCTACCTTAGAAAGGATGGAAGGCTGAGTCAACCTTGAGCCTTGGCGAGATTCGAACCCTGCAGTAATTGCAGGCAGCTGGTCTTAATAAGCTTAATAACAGGGTGCCTTAAACCCCTGTACTACCAAGGCTCTCTTGGTTAGGGTTCTAGAAACAAACAATCAAACTATAATATTTTCTGCAAGTCTTTGCACCCATCACAGAAATTTTCACCCATCACAGAAGAGAAGAAAAGAAAAGGAGTTTTTCCTTGTTAAAAGGATATGAACAATTTCTACATGTTGAAATATTTCTCCTAAAACATCTGACAGATTGATCCCTGCTGGGAAGCAGATCAGAGTTCACCTTTTCTTTTTTTAATATATATTTCAGTACATATGTTCTTTCATACCATCCAGTATCTGTCTGCCTTTTATCAGTTAAATGGGATTTGATGACTAGATTTCTAATGTCTTGGAGTAACCAACAACATTAACACTATAATGTGGAGCTAGGGTGGAGCTTGCTGAGATGTTTACTCAGGTTACATCCTGCCTTGGACTCTTTTATCTGATTATTGTCTTGATAGCAGCCCTTCCCTGAAGGCCATTCTCTCTCCTTCTATCCTGGACAGTCTGGGATATGTCAGTCTGCAATTGCTCCTGCCTTCCCCATCTC